GATAGCTACTGCCCCGAGAGTTAAAAGACTGACCTTCTTGCAGCTCCCACATTTCCATTTAGAGAGACACCATCGGGTCAAAACTGGCCCCAACCTTACATTTTCTTAGGATGAAAATGTCTATATATATAAAAAAAGAATCTTTGCCAAACCTAGATCCAATGGGAAGAACTTGGGGGGTTTACTCCAACAGAAACATTTTCTTAACTAACCCTCCCTCATCAGAGTTTGCAACCCAAACATTGTCACATTGGGCTAGTGCATAAAAACCCAGACACCTGAGTAGAAACAGAAGTGAAAACTAGTTTCCTTTCCCCCCCAACCTGTGAAAAATGCAAAAATGGTTGTGTGCCCGCTGTGGATGGGAACGGGTGCTCCAAGTTCCTTAGCCTCTAGGGTCTGAAGAGCCTGTCAGTCTTTCCTCTTTCTGGCTGCTGTAGGGTGTGTTGCTGTTTAGTTGGTTTGGGTTTGTTTGTTTTTTGGCAGGGTGGGGAGAGGCCAGTCAACTTTCAGCTAATGAAGTGGAGGGGACAGGGATTTGATTCTTCCCAGACATCACTATCATGTGTGCTTGAGAGGACAGGGCTTGACAGGGGAGGATGAGGAATGAGCCCCCACCCACATACATATTTGAAAGAGGGCAGATCCAAGCTAGGCTCCCCCTAAGGGCATGCGGACTAAGCTAACGCAGGGGTGCATATCGCTATATGGCAGCAGCTGCTGGGTTCTGCACGTGGGCGCCCCATCCGCGCAGCATTGCCAGGCCCAGGGAGCTGGAGAGGATCACAGCTCACCTCTCAATAGCCAGCGGCAGATGAGTGACAAGCACCAGTCCCTAGAGCCGAACAAAGCGAGGCCAGTTAGAGAGGCAGCGCCGAGTCTCTCACCAGGTTTCCATCCCATGTCCATTGCGGGTCCCCCCCACCCCAGCATCTTATTCGTTTCCCAGCATGGTCCCTGCATAACATCACTTCAGGGAACCACCTTACCACGCAGAGCCGTGCAGCTCAGCCCCCCTCCAGCGAGCTGCAGCTCCTCTTCCACCCAGCATCTCCCCACCAGCCAAACCCAGGCCTCGCTTTGTCCCCTGTGGTCCTTCGGGGTCCATCCTCTGCACTAGCCAAGGGGCCAGAAGACACAGCACCATCCAACGCGGAGATACCGGGGAATATCCCACCCCTCCCCCAGCCCCGGCGACATGCGCCTCCCTTCCCCAGGGCAAAGCGACTCCCCTTCTCTGGGCTGGCCCAGGCCTCCCCCGGCCAGCCAGACACTGGCTGCAACACCCGCTCACTCCATGATCCCCTCCCTGCGCCCGCACCCCCGTCCCAATTACAGGGCAGAGCAAGAATTAAATCCCTCCACCCACCGACAAGCGGAAAACGCTCCCCCCCCCCCCGCGGGAATAGCACCGAGCTGCATACCTGCCTCCCCCCGGAATAAGGGGCACGGAGCCCCCGCTTACCTAGCGGTCGCCCCCGGGCACAGCTGCAGCCGCCCCCTTCTTCTGGGTCTCCATTGCGCTGCGATCCCCACCTTTCCCCGGCGCAGCAGCTCTTCCCCCAGCTGCGGCCAGCGGCACCTCGATTGGCTGCGACTGGGAGATTTTCCGGCCCAGAAGGAGAGAGTCAGATTTCACCAGCACCCTTGTTATTGGCCGCTGCAAAGCCAGAGCTTCGCTGACTGGCCCAGATGTGCAGCCTGCACGCAGGTCTCTCCCAGCGCCTTTTCGCTTTCAATTTTGCTCTCAAGCTGTAGAGACAGCGGCAGATGCCAGCAGGGAATGGAAAACAGGGGCGGCACTGACTCAACACACGCGCTCGCTATTCTATCCTGGCCAGCTTGAGTGTGCAGAACGGCCTGTCTCCCTGGGTTTCCTTGCAGCTCCCTAATTGTTCACCATTTAGAAAAGCCATTTCCGGGGAATAACTTCTTCCCTGGCCTTTTGGCTAAGAATAGATTCTGTTCAGCCTGTTCGAACAGTTTAACAATCAAAAGGATACTTAGCAATTACTCCAGCTTTTCATCCAGGGAGCCCACGCACCTTTACAAAGGAAAATATAATGATCTTCATAGGAAGCAGAGAAGAAATAACTTCCCCCCAAGGCACACAGTAAATCAGGGGCAGAACAGAACTCAGAACCCAAGTCTCTGGAATTCTCAGCTCACCACCCTGGCCTCAGTGCCAATGTAATGTCCCCTTTAAAAGGGGTGCAAGTCCATCCCGTGCAAGCAGATAAAGTTTATCCATGATTCTGTGTGCACAGGCTAATCAGTTTAAAAACGGTGGGTGAAATCCTGGCCCATTGAAGTGCATGGGAGTTTTGCCACTCACCTCAGTAAAGCCAACACAGACAAGACCAAGCCATGTTTAAACAATGAAGCTCTAGACTATATACAGAGCTAGGATACAGCATTGTTTCTGAACACTGCTTAGGTCTGGCCACAGTGACCCATCAAGCTGACAGAACTCCTGTTTGCTGTCAACAAAGTGAAAACTATGTTTAAGGAGTTTTCTTTAAAACTTTGCATGAGTAGGTGTGTGAGAGAGAGGGGAGGAGAGGTTCAGCAATTGCTGGTGTAACCCCCAGTAGTGTAGGTCTTTTCCATCTTCACTTCTTGATCCTAAACAACTTTAAGCACAAGCAAACAGCCTCTATTCTCTAACTGCAGATTATACAGCTCATGAGTCAACCTCATTCCCCCTCTTCAGCAGCAAGACAACTGCAGATCGTTCACATCCAGATTTCCTCCACCCCCTCTCCCCCCAGTACAGAATGAAGCAACTTGGGGCCCTACACATTGTAAAACTAGTCCTGGAAGTACAACAGTGAAATCTTCAGCAAAATGTACACACACTTACAGACACTACATTATAGGACAGCCTCTCAGTGTTTGGCAGCAGCAGCTGGCACTGTCCATATGAAAAGATAAAGATTGCAATATACTTCAAAACATATACACCATACTGTACATCACAAAATATAAACACAGAAAATGTGAGGGACAAATGCATTACCATCCTGCACATTACTGAAATAGGTTTTAAACACCCCACCACACTCCTGCTCCCATCCAGGATTACAACTACTTTGCAAACAGAGGGTGTCAAGTTTTGGCCCTACCAATAGCTTGCTTACCTCTCTTAAAAGATGTTCTGAGGAAAACTTGATTAAAATGATTGCGAAGCACTTCAAGATTGGATAAAAGGAGCTATAAAATGCAGCAGGAATGTTAAAGCATCCATCCTCTCTTTAAATTATGAAAAAAAAACGAAGTAGCAGTTTATAAACTTAATTTCTCTCCTTGCCCATATCCGCATGTCATTGCCAAATCTAGTACCAACCTTTGCAGTAAGATCCCCCTGCTTTATTAGTTCCAACGATGACTTCTTTCTTGCCAAACCCACTCCCATTTAACACCACGGTAACTTTGTTTTCAAACTATAGGGATCAGATTAACTGGACCATCTCACAAAGTGAGAAAAGCAGGCGAGCTTCAGAGATGCACCCCACACGGAGTGGGCACAGCATCGCCTCACATCTTGTTTTGCTTTCAGACACCTTCAAAGGCATCACTTCAAGATTCTACACTTTAACATCAGTCCATTTTCCAGATCAATATTAACTATATGACAGAGCTGTATTATTTTGACAAGAAACCTTTATTATAGAAGCTGGACAGACCTACAATTGTAATGTAAGTGCTAGGAGGTGTTCCAGACTATTTCAGAGGATTATGGATTGAAGTTCAAGTGCTTTCCCATCAGAGGGGTTGAATAATGTAAGAGGAAGGGCCTCCATGGCCAAAACACGGTCTTTATTTAAAATGGTGTCCTTATAAAGCTTCCTGTGTAAAACTGAGACGCTTTTCACTGACGTCTGAAACGCAGCTACTGTTTTAGAGTTGAAACACTGAGTTATCTGCCAACATCCACAGCATGATGTAAACTAAAAGGTTTGAAGCAATAATAATAAGCTACACTTATTCAATCTCCCTTAAAATCTCATTTATACCAAATAAATCACAGTAACTCCACTGAAGTCGGTAGATTTTAGTTTTCATCTTGTTTGCACTAGTTAACAATAACTACTGCTTAATCTAGCACTTTTCATCTGTAGATCTCAAAGTGCTTTACAGGAGCAAAAAGTATCCCACTGAGGCACGGTGATGTGAAACAACGTATCGCACAGGCCAAGAATAGGACTCAGATTTCCTGAACCTCTATTCTCAGGACTCAAGACTGTCTCCCAGCGCGCGCGCGCGTGTGTGTCTAAGGATGGATCCAACGATAGGTGAGAATTGAGCCCTAAGTTGGCAGTTGTCCTCATTTATCGATACATAAAATCAGAGTGAGTAAAGTGCGTGCGCACACACACACACACCGGTGCCCATGAAACACACTCATTAGTGCATCTGCAATAAAAACTTTTAAGATGATATAAGTTCCCTCACTGCACCAAAATGAATCTACCATGTTTTACTTTTCCTATTATTCTTTGCACATAGATGTGTCTGTCTAGCACAATAGAGAGGGCAAGCAGTGGGACAAAGGTCCTGCATCAATAGGATTCTATTTCTTTCCCTTCTGCTAATATCATCTCTAGAAATAGTGCCTGCAGACATATTAAACGCAAAGACACTTTTTAAATGAAATTCTACATTCAAAGAAATACCAGTTATTTTAAGTTAGCAGAAAGAAGCTTTTGTCTGTAATTTCTATTCTAATATCTCCACACAGTTTTGCATTTACCAGAGTGAAAATCTCAGTTACATCAGGAATTATTTGCATCACTAACCCTTCCCCCTCCACACATACACACCCTTTCCTGCCAATACCTTAGTGTTGGTCCTAGCATTAAATCTGTGAACTGCAGGCATTTTCTTTAAAAATCTGAATCCTATTTTGTGACTACAGAAGATGACTACTCATTTACAGAATAAAATGAGATTTGTGGAAAGTAGATGTTTGCACACATCATTACAAGCAAAAAACAAAGTTTTCTAAACAGAAGAACATAGTTTATTGGTAATTATTTCCAAATAGTGATGACTGAACATAATGAAGACAAAACAAAAACAAAAAACAAAAAAAAGGGGGGGTAGGAGGGGACAGCAGGAACACACAGAGGGAAGCCTCAGCTTTAAACACTTCACTTGAAGGCATTAATTAATGGAACACCGTGAGCAGGCAGCTCCTGGTGCACTTGACGGAATAGCATGGCACATTTGTTTCTTTCTTGAATCTTTCCCAGGGTGTGGAAGAGTCTGGCCTGAAAGTAAAGAACGTCTCTGAGCTGTTCTTTGCAGTCCACTTTTGCAAAATAAGTCTTGGCTTCATTTAGGTTCAGGATAGCAGATTCCAGAGCTGTCAAAAGAGTGAGGAAGTCCAATATTTAAAATTGTGTTCGTATAAACACCACGTGCAGTACAATCCCACTCTAGGGAGGCCCATTAGGAATTTTTTAAATTAAAAGCACAGGTTTTAGCAATTTATAAAAGAATTCATGATGTGGGAGAAAACATTTTATTGCAGCTTTTGTAAAAATAATGGACTTGGCATCATGGGCCTACAACTTCAGCCTCTGCTATTCAAGGTTTGCTGCAAGGTGTGGATGATAAAGTGTGCAAATAAACAAGGTTCTATTGTAAATATTGAGTATTTTCAAGATGGACATTGTTCTTTTGGCCTCAGTGACATTGTGAGTCCAGACTCAGACCCTCTCCCCCCGATCTTCCCATTCGATAACACTACCTGCCTTGTTATTGTTTTGATTTTATTACCAATGACGACATATCTCTGTGCTATTAAAATTCAAATATCTAAACTGGATTGTAGCTCATTCAAAGTTGAGAAGTATAAATGGGCATAATTATTCTTCACTCTACCTTCTGCCTTCTTTGGTGGAGAATAGGAAGCTGCAGAAGCAACTTGACATTTGGCCACCAAGAACATGGCACAGCCTTTGTCCAGTACCGCCCCGTGAGCCAAGATAGGTTCTATTGCCGTATGCAGAATATTCAGCGCTTGTTCAGGAATACCAAGAATTAGCTGAAAGAAAAACATACTTTGCTGGTCTGAAATTGGTGCCCACAGGAAATAGCAGCCACTTCTGGTGAGGCCAACATAAGCTACTCAAATGCCACATCTGTTTTAAAAGGAATTGATAGTCCAGACAAGATTTTTAGCTTCTTCCCATAATGGTCTAATCTGTTTCCATTAGCAGAGATGAGGCACTGTGGTGGTGAATGCCAGTAGGAATCTGAATTGATTGGCAGACACTGCCCAGTGTTGACAACCAGGATCCCCATCTGCCCAGAATAAGCAATACGAATGAACTCCATTAACCTGTGTTCTTTTTAAACCCAGCTCATGTCAACAAGTTACAGTACCACAAAGCCAACAAGATGGCATAAGAAATATCAATTAGAGAAGTGAAGGCAGTACCAACTTATAACCGCATATTCTAGAACATACGGAGCCTAAAAGCCTCAATGACATTCAATTGTTTTTATAGACTTCCTTGAAAAATTTCACATTTTGAAATGCATTTAATTCTTTAGAAGCAATAACTGAACCCTGACAGGATTATATTCTTAAATCGAACAACAATAGCAATGATATCCAGATTGACAACGTAAATGTTTGATTTGCAGCCTGTGAAAACATGAATCAAACTTACCTGGGAGAAAGCCAAGTTCAGGACAGTTTCAGAGGCCAAGTACTGAAGACGGTATTCTCTAGAAAGAGCGAGAGCCTGAAGCAGGACAGGCAGTGCTATTGTATGACATGAAGATCTCCAGTAAAGTTCTGCTATTGACAGAAGTACACTAACCAAAAAAAGAGGGGGGGGGGGAATTTATATATAAATGACAGTTTTGCTGAAAATTTTGAAGTGTTTCCCCACCACACTAACCTCCAGAAAGCAAGCAAGTGGAAGTCAATTATTTATCCCTAATAGTACTCTCTCATTTATTCTTAATAAGTTAAAATACTACATGCACAATAAATCTGAATTTCATCCTTAAAAGGGATTCCACCAAATTACCATAAATAAAAATACTATTGTGGTAAGTAACACTGACGATTATGATGACACAAAGTAGAGAAACACAATCTCTCTCAGTTTATTTTAGGCACAGTTGGTTTGTGTGGCTCTTTCACTCAACAGGGGAACTAGCCACCCTCACCCCCCCCGCCAAAAAAAAAAGGGAAATTGTGGTTGCAAAACACCCACTCAGGGCAGATTTAGTATTTGAAACTACTTTGAATTTAGTTTTGAAAAGACTTCTAAATTTCAGCTTCACAGTATCCTTTATATCAAATTTTTAATATGGTTATTAAAAAACCACCCGCAAACAAACCACCCATACCCACACATGCCATAGGAAAACAAACAAACAACACACACACACACACACACAACACGACCCCGGAAAAAAAACTAAAGTTGAATTTTCACACACTGTCCATGAAGAACTCAACTCATACATCCTCTTTGATGATGGAAGTTTACCTATCATACTTCATTTCAAAGCTAAAGCTCAGTTTGTTGAGTGCAAACATGTGTAGTTAGGGGCCATTCCAAATAACTTTCTTTTAAAACAGTGTTGGTACCAGCAAGTTCATTTAGCTCAGCAAGTGAAAGCACGTTCGTGTTGCCATGGTATTGTTTCATCTTATCACCACCCAAAGTTTTACATTTAATAATTCTCCTATACTACATTTATTAAATCAGAATATTTTCTTATCCAAATGGTGGATAAACTACAAATTAGTGAAGCAATACAGAACAGATTGTGACTATTGATGTTAATTAGCGTAAGGTAGCTTTAATATTCAAGGAAATCTCTGGAAATTAACGGTTCTTACCTAATCACCATCTCAGTGTTTTTTATATTTTGGCAGTGGATCAACAGTTTCTGCAAAAGTTTGTGCGCCTCGGACATTTGATTCTGAGCTTTCAATACAATGGCTTTTCTACAATAAAAAGAATTTCATTACCAGACGAGAATATTTTAGACTCAATCCTTCACTTGGATGCAATGGAAAAGCACACTTGTGTTTTGTGTACTCAGCTTCTACACTTGTAAAGCTGCTTTCTACCCAAATGTGTAAAATTATAACCAGGGCCTGGTGGGGATGTTCCATTAATAACATGTAACTTTTATATAACACTTTTCATCCACAGATCTCAAAGCACTTTATAAGGGAAGGGAAGTATTCCCTCCATTCTACAGATGGGGTAAGAGCCAGAAATGAAGCAACTTGCCCATGGTCACACTGTAGGTCAATGGCAAAACCAGGAATAGGCCCCAAGTCTCCTAATTGTTTATTTAAATTCTGTATTGCACCTAGCTCCTGGGATAGCCACAGTGAACAGATTTCAAAATAAATAGATGAATGCATTCGCTGAGAGCAAGAGATCTCTAGTCATAGAATAATTTATAAATGTAGGTCTTAAATCCATTATAGCCATTAAAATAACCCCAGGGATGTGGGGAAAATGGATTATACCAAAATCATTGTTTTAGGATAATTATGGCAGAGTTAAGGAAAAAGAAAACATTATTGTAGTTCACTGAAGAGAGGTATGAATTATCTCCAGCAAGCACTTTATTCCATCTTTATTTCAGTGGGATATTATTGCAAGATTTTTCTGTAGATTGATGGTTTCTTACCTGTACACGCCTTCGATGCTATTAAGTGCTGTAATTCCTGCCACAAAAGAATCGGCAACATGGTACTTCCCATCGTTCATAGCTCTATCGAACTGTATTTTCTGATCAAACAGCATCCACAGCTAAACCAAGAGCGTACAGAAATAAGTTTTAAGAAGAAATGGTAAATGTTCATTTTGTGATCCAAAGTTAAATCAATAGATATTAAATAGGGCTGTCAATTAATCGCAGTTAGCTCACGCGATTAACAAAAAAAATTAATCGCAATTAAAAAATGTAATTGCAATTAATCACAGTTTTAATCGCACTGTTAAACAATAGAATACCAATTGAAATTTATTAAATAGTTTGGACGTTTTTCTACATTTTCCTATATATTGTATTCTGTGTTGTAATTGAAATCAAAGTGTATATTATTTTTTATTTATAGTATTTTTCAATTCACCTCATACAAATACTGTAGTGCAATCTCTTTGTTGTGAAAAGTGCAACTTACAAATGTATTTTTTTGTTACATAACTGCACTCAAAACCAAAACAATGTAAAACTTCAGAGCCTACAAGTCCACTCAGTCCTACATCTTGTTCAGCTAATCGCTCAGACAAACAAGTTTGTTTACATTTACAGGAGATAATGCTGCCTGTTTCTTATTTACAATGTCGCCAGAAAGTGAAAACAGACAGTTGCATGGCCCTTTTGTAGCTGGCAATGCAAGGTATTTACGTGCTAGGTATGCTAAACATTCGTATGCCCCTTCATGCTTCGGCCACCATTCCAGAGGACATGCTTCCATGCTGATGATGCTCGTTTAATTAATGCATTATTTTTTTTTTAAATTTGTGATTGAACTCCTTGGGGGAGAACTGTATATTCCCTGGTCCGTTTTACCTGCATTCTGCCTTATATTTCATGTTATAGCAGCCTTGGATGATGACCCAGCACACGTTCATTTTAAGAACATTTCACTGAAGATTTCATAAAATGCAAAGAAGGTACCAATGTGAGATTTCTAAAGATAGCTACAGCACTCAACCCAAGGCTTAAGAATCTGAAGTACCTTCCAAAAATCTTAGAGGGACGAGGTGTGGAGCAGGTTTTTCAGAAGTCACACTCCGATGTGGAAACTACAGAACCCGAACCACCAAAAACCATGTTAGTCTGTATCCGCAAAAAGAACAGCCACAAGTACTCCTGTTCTTTTTGAAAAAAAAAAAAGGAAAATCAACCTTCTGCTGGTGGCATCTGACTCAGATAATGAAAACGAACATGCATCGGTCCGCACTGCTTTGGATTGTTATTGTGCAGAATCCATCATCAGCATGGACGCATGTCTTCTGGAATGATGGTTGAAGCATGAAGGGACTTAGGACTCTTTAGTGCATCTGGCACGTAAATATCTTGCAACCCCAGCTACAACAGTGCCATGAGAATGCCTGTTCTCACTTTCAGGTGACACTGTAAACAAGAAGCAGACAGCATTATTTCCTGCAAATGTAAAAAAAAAAAAAAAAAGAAAACTTGTTTGTCTGAGCGATTGGGTGAACAAGAAGTAGGACTGAGTGGACTTGCAGGCTCTAAAATTTTACATTCTTTTATTTTTGAATGCAGTTTTTTGTACATAATTCTACATTTGTAAGTTCAACTTTCATGATAAAGAGATTGCACTACTGTACTTGTATTAGGTGAATTGAAAAATACCATTTCTTTTGTTTTTTACAGTGCAAATACTTGTAATCAAAAATAAATATAAAGTGAGCACTGTACACTTTGTATTCTGTGTTGTAATTGAAATCAATATATTTGAAGATGTAGAAAACATCCACAAGTTTTGAAATAAATGGTATTCTATTATTGTATAATTGCGCAATTAATTTTTTAGTTGCTTGACAGCCCTAACATTAAAGCATGCTATTTACAGACATAACTGACTATACTCCTGTTTATTAAAGAAGTTGTCTGAGTTTGTTGGATGTAACACATTGTATCAATAACATCTTCAGCAGAAATGTGTAGGTCTACTAAAGAAATATGGCAAAAGAACCCCAACAGAGCTTACAGGATCACATTTAAAATAAAATTCTTTCCTCTAGTTATGTCCTGAATAATTGTTTTGGGGCAGTATGGCTCCCTTTGTAACATAGAAAAGGAAAGATTGGAAAAAATAAGTTTGCTGGATCTAGAAAGCCTTAAAATGATGTAGATGCTGTCCTACAGATTTACTCCATTAGGGTGTTTCCCACTTCCACACAAATCACAGCCTCTTCTCTTAGCTCAGAGTTCTTGTGTAGCACTTTGAACTTCAAGGCACTTTACAAACATTAAATCCTGATAATGCCCTCTGAGGGAGGTAAATATGATATAGCTAGCATTACAGCTAAGCTACACAGAAAGAACAGAGGGCATGGAAGGAAAATACAAATAGCTCTTCACTCTGAGACACTAATGAGAGATCTTTCTCAAGTTTCCAACTGTGGTACATAATGTTTTAATGGCTTGCAACTTTGTGCAAAAATTTTTAGGTTTCCCACTAGTGACAAGATTTACATGAAACAAATTCAGATTTTCTAATGAAAACCCATTTTATACAGGTACAGTAGGAATTAAGAAAAAAAAAATCAGATCTTACCCCCAACATATAACTCTGTCATGTGAATGTGTATTTTCTCTATTCAATAAAAGCTACACGTTACCTGTGCATGCTGACTACTGGGAGGGAATCTCTCTTTTAAATGTTTCAATATTTCTGAAGCAGCAGCAAAGCATCCCTACAACACAAGAACAGGAGTATGATGAGCAAGTAATAGGGCAAGAACTATTTTCCTTTCCTTAATTTCATCCCTGTACTATGAGACACAAACAACTGTTAAGAGGAAAAGCTAGATTTCCCTCACCTGCCAAAATGTTGATCAGAACCACACATGCACACAGTTCATCAACAAAAGCCTCTTTTTATCACGGGCCTTTGAATCTTCTCCACTCAGGTGATTTTTTGTGTGCAACTCAATGTAAGCCTCACCTGTTCTGCATGTAGCTCAGCCAGGTGACACAATACTACAGCAAAAGATTCCGTGTTATTCTGCTGAACACCCACATTTACAGCTTCTAGACTGTTCATGCTCAGCAACATCTGGGCTTGCTGAAGTGCCATGGTGCTACAGTGAGAAGAGCTTCATTTACTTTCATGCAACAAACATCAGAGATTTCTAATCTACACTCCAAAGTCATGATAAATTGCCACAGATTGCTTCTCCGGGCTTCTAGTTTTACAGTTTCCCCCCTTTTTGTTGTAAGAAACTGCTATCCAGGACCTCCCCACCGTGCCAGCACATGGAGTGCTCATGAACAAGGCATCAACCCAGCTAAGAGCAGAACACAGTTTCTATAAGGTGATGTCTCTATTTACCCATCCTCGACATTAAAACTCTGTTCTATTTACAGATCTAACATAGCGACTAAAATCTCTCCTATAGACTGTATCTGAGAGGCAGCCGTGTTAGTCTGCATCCACAAAAACGAGGAGTCTGGTGGCACCTTAAAGACTAACAGATTTATTTGGGCATAAGCTTGTGTGGGTAAAAAAAAAACCCATTTCGTCTGCTGAAATAAATCTGTTAGACTTTAAGGTGCCACCAGACTCCTCGTTGTTCCTCCAGACTGTGTTTTAAATGAGCCAAACTAGAAAAACAAAAATTCCCCCAACATCTCCTGAATAATAGCCTATATACTTGGTTTCAGCACATTAAACAGATGCAGTCGCTTGTGCACTTATATGACTGATAGTAAAGGCATTGCTTGCAACATTTACAACATATATAAGAAACAAAGTTTGATGAGAGAAAATACCTGCGACCATATAGTCTCCAAATGGCAGTTTTCTGTGCTATACTAATATCAATAAGCTCGGACAAGCTATGTTTCCAGTGCAACAGATCAGAGTCCTTTAAGGCATCCATTAGCTTGTTAGCGGTCTTTCCTGCAAAAGCTCTTTGCTGAACCAAGGACTGTATTCCCAGGGAAGCTAGATACTAAGGAGAGGGAAATCAAAAAACAAACATATTAAACATAGACACGCTACAACTAAGCAGGAAGCACAAACTACACTTCTACCTCGATATAACGCGACCCGATATAAAACATGAATTCGGATATAATGTGGTAAAGCAGTGCTCGGGAGGAAGGGGGGGGGGGGATGTTGCGCACTCCGGTGGATCAAAGCAAGTTCAATATAACGCAGTTTCACCTATAACAGGATAAGATTTTTTGGCTCCCGAGGACAGTGTGATAATTGAGGTAGAGGTGTATCAAAATTCCCACCTAAAAAAACCAAGTTATTATTCAATACAGATGACAAAATGCCGCTACAGGGATTTCTTCATATACGTAGTTAATAATACCACCTGGTAATGGGACGGAAGGGGAATCTGTAGTTTCCCACCCCACATTCCTGCAGCTGGGAAGCTGGTGTTTATATCTGAGTCATAACCCTAACCCTAAGTACTCACATGCACACTTGTGTGCGCACACACAGAACTTTCTGCTTTTCCCCTGCCACGCCCTCAAAAAAATACAATTTCCACCTTCCATGGCTCATACACCATCTACACAATTAGTTCCCAATCCTTTGTCATATGCACCCCACCTGACTCCTCACTCCAACCCAGTTTTCCCCATGACTTTTACTTCCTCACCCCCAGCTGGGTTCTCTATTTGTTCTTGGGTATCAGAGGGTAGCCCTTTCTCTAAATAATCTAACGTCTGCTCTCAGCCTCCCCAATGTGAGCTACGCTATTCCTTCTAGTGCTGCTCGTTCTCTTATCTCAAACAGAAAAACTACAGAGAGACAGACAACCACACTAACAGCCAGGAGACGTGGAGGAAGCTGGCATGAGACTTGCTGAGAGAGGGCTGCCCTGCAAGACCCAGCAGCTGGGACAGGGTGAAATGGGGGTGAAAGCCAAAGATCCCTATAGGAGCAAGTCCACCGTGTTTTTTAATTTAATTATGTTTTTAAAAAGAAAGAAAAAGGCAGATTTTGTAATCTAAAATAGATTGGGTTAAATCTCAGCTATACATATTCATAAGATCAGCAAAAAGAAAAGCTACAGATCATACACTACATGCGAGTGCACACACACCCTTCTCCTTGTCCTAGAATAAAGTTGAGGGCTGAGAGACTTACTGGCAATCCAAAATGTACAGCTTTTTTCACAGAGTGTTCCAACAGGACACAGCTATCTGATCTCTTCTGCTCCAAAATGTACAGCCAACTCTGGTATGGGAACAAGATAAAAAGATCATTGCAAAGGCATGACGTAAAATGTCATGTAAGATATTTTTGTGCAACCATTTAAAAAATAAAATAAAAAGAAGGGAGGGGACACAAAAACTTGTGTGGTAACTTAAACAAAAACACAATTGACTATAGAATTAGAGTCCCTCCTACAGAAGGCAGCAGCCCAGGAGGCTTCCATGTCAAGTCTGGCATGGTATAATAATTTATGCAAGGCACCCATAGGGTTACCTTGCACAGGACTTCTGGGGTAACATCCTCTCTCAGTCCAAGAGATAGACCGACTCTCATGGAATGAGCCTTGCTAGAAAGTGGTACTTTTCACCTTGGACCTATAAGTTTCCTCAATACAGTCTCAAAACCAACAAGACACAGAAGCCTTAGAACCCGCTCTGCTTCCCCAAGGAGAAACAGGTGACCTGTGTCACTTCGAGAGCTCCCTTCAGATAGATATGTTAACCCTTCTTCATATCAAGTGGACAACAGGAGCTCTTCTTTCTCCTCTCATGGGTTGAATATAACAAAGTGCTTGAAACTTCCTGAGCCAAAAAGCAAAGCTTAAAACTGAGCCATTATGCTGCAGCGTGTTTGGGAAGGCAGAGGAAGATGCCTAGTCTATGGCAGTTTTTCAGGTGGATCACCCCTCTTAGCAAGAGCACTGTTTACACTGCATAGATTTAGACAGGGACCTCTGCTGAGTGCTCTCTAGGTTGTAAATAAAAAAAAACCAAAAAAAAACCCCCCATCACTATAAACACACTCTATTAGTTAGAGTATTATGGACAAGAAAGAACTGAAAAAGAAGTTGCCAAATGGGGAGAGGGGGAGAGAGAGAGAGAGAGAGAGAGACTAAAATCTTTGTCTTTTTCCTCTTTCCATTGGCTGAGAGCCTTATGCTCACTCTCAGGACAAACAGAGGGATACGGGAAAAAAGGCTTTTATAAATTATCTTGAACAAAGTTCTTAAAAGTGCAAAGACTAAACATTCAAAGCATTGTGTATGGGTTTAAATGTATGACTCCCACTAAAGTCAACCAGCGTTGCACAACTAAAAAAAATCTCAGGACAGCACCTTGATATTTACTGAAGAAATAAAGAGTCAAAAAAAGTCATCCTGAGACAGGGAAATAATATTTAAACTACTACCAAACACTAGATATAGCTACAGAAAATGCATCAAAAGTCTAACTGATGGCTAAGACAAAGGCAATGTATCCCCTAAGCATGGCTGCCTTACCAAGCAGTGCTGCAAGCAAACATGATCATTGGACTCCTGTGCAATTCTGATGGCTTCCTGGAGAGCAAGCTCAGCTTGCTGACTATCAACAAATCAAAGACAGAGCACATTAATATTCTGTTAACAAATGACAAGTAGTATTATGAAGTCTCAAACGTACGCTGATCTAAAGGATACATATCCCACTCAGCAGTGAACTCCAATTAAACAGTTCAGATGAGAGAGGAGTATTTCCTCACATCTACTTTTTTGTTAGTCTTAAGGCTGAAGATATACATCACTAAAGATAGCCTCTACAATTCATGAGAAATTAATTGTAACCCATTACTGGGCCTTAAAGCACATGTATATGTTCAAATATACTCTGAGATTATTCTGATGTGTGCCATATAAAATACCTGCCTAGGTAGAAAGTGTTTGTACTCATCTTCCTGACCCACCTCCCATCATCACCAACTGTGATCCAGTCATGTGGGAATGTATGCAGGCCTAAATCACAAGTTTCTTTGGGGGCAGGGACCTCTCTCATTTGTCTGTAGAACACCATGCATATCTACAGCACTGCAGAAACAATACCCCCCTCCACAAAGAGATTTAAAAAAAAAAAAAATCTGCAAAGTACTCTCTCCAACTCATCTGATCATTACCTTTGAGAGAGTAATAGGTTGGCAGCTATAGTTGCTCCTGAACATGTATCAGTTATAAATAAGCACTCACACCTTCTGACCTACGTATGGTCGTGGAAGTGCAGCAGGTAAAGATCTAATTCCCTGGGACACCGTTGTAATTGAACATAAAAAGAACCTCAAATCTTAGTATATTCCAAATGGTTCAGCCAACAGGAGGACCAAATGGATGTTAAAATCAAATCAAGATTCAAGGACGGTTACAAACACAGCCCATCTGTGCTTGCTCCCCAACTACAGAGTCCTCCTCCTCCTCTCCTTATCTAACTTTGAGAAAACAATAGTAGCACAAGGTCTATCTTGTGTTTCTTAACTATGCAGCAAGATGTATTAACTTACTAATGGCCAAACCGACAATGCAGCGCAGCTAGATTAAGAGCAGCGTATCTCAGACTTCGGCCATAACCTTCATCTCCATTGCTTTTGCTTTCTGCTCCAGTGAGAATCAAACGGTCAAAATAGTGAAGGAGGCTGTGTGTTGAACTGAAGACATCTTGTACTCGAAGACTATTTAAGTAGCTTAAATAATGCTAAAATAAAAGCAGAATCAGCTTTAATTAAAACAGACTTGGTAACACAATTTTTAGATGTATGTTGTATCTTCTTACTGAGAAAGGTGGCAGTAGGATCTTCTGTGAATGAGAGTGTGTTTAGCAGGAAATATCAATGCAAAAAACACGATTTAGACAGTTCAGAACTACTGGGATAAAGCTGATCGTGTTCAATTTTGGAGCAGGGTCATTTGATATAGAGGAAACAAGGAAAGGCTTGCTTACCACAGCTAATATTTTCAACATCTCCCACCAGTCAGTGGTTCTGAGGCAAGATGTCTACATAGAAGGCATGAACCTACAGCTCTTACTCGTGTGATACTGCTCACATGGGTAGGGCTACAGGATCAGGCCCAAAACATGTAGTACAGGCCCAGACTGACATTCTGTCAAATGCATTTCACTTTCAGAGTTCAGACTTCTTTTAATAACCAGACCTGAAATCAATGTAAGTAATCAATAGCCACTGATACTGATCACCGGTACATTTCTTACATTCACAACGTTTAGGAGCATAACTATTTCATGTTATTTAAGACAACTTAATGTCAGAAAAACAAGTAAGTCTCAGGCCCCATTTCAAAAAGGAACTTAAAACACATGCCTAACTTTTTGCACTTGAGTAGTGCCATTCAAGTCAATGGAACTTGTGCTTGAAGTTGGACACACGTAAGTACCTATATGAATTATGCTCTCTGTGTCTTCAAAGGGAGTCCCATCCTAAAATACTATATTAGCATACACAGAGATAATACAGATTTGGACAAATGTTTTGCATTTCAGTGTACAGTACAAATTATACAAAATACACTATATTTTAGAAATAGGAAGAACTGCCCCGCGTGCATGTTGGGTTGAGGGGGAAAGACACTTACTGCTTCAGCAAAGTCTGGATTAAACTTCAGCAAATTGTTCAATTCCTTTTGTAAAAATGCTGGAGTAAGAGCCTTTGTCTCGTCATTCTTTAATAAAGAAGCCTAGAATAAAAGGGCAAATTGTTGTTAAGTATCTAGGAATGGAGCAGTAGAATATTATATAAATAGATGCTAGTCAAATCTGTAAAAAGAAGAACAGGAGTACTTGTGGCACCTTAGAGACTAACAAATTTATTAGAGCATAAGCTTTCGGGGACTACAGCATATATGCATCCGAAGAAGTGGGCTGTAGTCCACGAAAGCTTATGCTCTAATAAATTTGTTAGTCTCTAAGGTGCCACAAGTACTCCTGTTCTTCTTTTTGCGGATACAGACTAACACGGCTGCTACTCTGAAACCAGTCAAATCTGTATAGCTTCAATTACATAAAATTTCCTAAGGGTTATGTCTGCTATCATGTTTAAATATCGCCAATAGCAATTTTACTCTCAATTAAATTGTATTATTCACATTTAGAGAGATCACAATTGTTTTGACTAACATGGAAAATCCGGTTTAAGATAGAGATTTCTTCAAGTATCTCTCTTTGGAGATTGATTATATCGGACTTCTGACTTAAATTTATATCTGACTGCTTACAAAAAATTCAGGTAACTATACAAAAACAATTCATTTATTTGCTTTGGGAAGAATACTGATAAATGGGAAACTCAAAAAAAAAAAATCAGTTATTATAGCAATCATAAGTGATCACAAGACTCCAGATCTCAGGAAAGTCACCGAACATTTTGATTTCTCTTGCTCCATAATATTGTCATTTTATTTGGAGAGACTATTTCTATACACATACAGGATACTACACAATAAATTAGTTAAAAATCTAGAATGAAGTCAAAATATGATGCCACTGAAGTTAAATTCATAAATTTACATAACAGCACAGCAGCAAGAGTGTAAACAAAAATTGTACACTAGATGTAGATATAGAGTTAAAGAGACCAGTAGCATTTAAAAATTACGTAGAGACCTTAAAATGAATAAGAAGTACTTTATGCTATTGTACATACACCGCTACCTTGATATAACGCGACCCGATATAACACGAATTCGGATATAATGTGGTAAAGCAGTGCTCCGGGGGGCGGGGCTGCACACTCCGGTGGGTCAAAGCAAGTTCAATATAACAGTTTCACCTATAACGCGGTAAGATTTTTTGGCTCCCGAGGACAGCGTTATATTGAAGTAGAGGTGTATTTAATATTGCTACCATGCTTCAGAGGTCTGGTTGTGCTCTTTGTGTCTTTAGTTTCTCTGCATATATTTACTTGCAGGAATGATCAATGAAACAGAAAATTTTAAACACATTTTGGAGAAACCAATTGGAAAGTATAAACTACAAATATTCCCATTGGAAACCTGATTCTGAAACACTCATCTCAAGGAACAGAATCATTCTACGACTTACGTGTCCAGTTAAAACTGTTTGAATTTCAAGTACTCACAATGAACTATTCACACACACGAGATATAAACCGAGAATTATTCAACAAAATAATTTCTAATTAATCCAAGAAAGTGTGATGTTTGTTGATAATTCATAAACACAGAGGTGAAATTTACATTCTGAATTATTTCCCAGCTCTAGTCCGAATTAATATACCTGCTGAGAAAGAAAATATTCTGCTTGCTTCTGGGAGAGAGGCCCACTACAAGATATTTCTTCTTCCCTGTTAAACAAACAATGGTTAGAAATAAAAGCAGTGAAAAAGAATCAGAAGGCTACAGATGTGTAGCTTATACTGTAGCTATAATAAAGTAGGTACATTGGCGGGTGATACAAAAAAATAAGTACATTTTATCAGAGGCCACACACACAATTTTAGTTCACAAACTATTATGGTACATCATCAGTGCTCAACTGGAAGTGTGAAAAGTAACCAGAATTACAGAGATTAAACTTTATTAAAGAATAAAACCTGGCACATGGAAGCCACAATATAGTAGTCAGACACACAATTATAGGTTTTAAGAGAGAAAAGACTAAATACAGTATATAGATATGTCTGAATAAAAACAGACATACCACCTTGATGTCTCAACTGGTAATGAGACCATGGCTGAATTTTCATCTTCAGTCAGCAGAGACTATGAGCAACGTGAGCAATGTTCATAATCATCTCAAGGAAGCTGATCACACAGAGGATCATGGCACTCTGCACAGCAAGATTAGTTCCAGAAAGCAACTGCTTTGCTAGAAACAGAACTTTGTTCAAAGGGAAAACAGAAATATATAACAAAAAGTAAAACTCTGAGGACAATTAGCTAGATTCCCAGCCGTCAGGAAGGCACAGAAAAGCTCAGGGACACAGAAGAGTCCAACTGCTGAAAATACAATTTAATGTGTATATGAAAACTACTTTTATTTAAAGATTATGTTGAAGAAAAAAAAAGTCACTTTTACTGCATTAAAATCTTCATTGTTAGCATTAATAATACTATTAAGAGGGGATATACAAAATCAAAAGTGCTAAGTGAAGGGAGAGAAAGTGGCACTGCCATCTTATACAGTAGTACTGTACTTAATTGAAAACAGAATTACTGAAGATTTGAGTTGCAGTTTAGAAATGCTGCCACATGGTGGCACCAAAGAAACTGAGTGGCCATCCCAGCACTAAATGTAAAAAAAGTTTATCTTGCTCTCTGCAAAAACCGACCATGACCCATCCTCTTAATATGAATGAGATCATCATTAATGAAGGGTGCCATTATAGAAAGATGAGAGTACAGTATCAAATTCCCATCTATCTCCTTTCAAGCCATAATATAAAACAAGGCACCCAACAATAAAAATGGTTGGAGCAGGAGATGTTCCATCCAAGCGAACTGTTCCATAGGGTTTTTGGAGATGGCTGAGGTTATCTTCTAAGAATGACGAAGGGATGGAAAGGAGGGTTGATTTTTCTAGTTTTGTTTTTTAAGGTGGTTGGCTGAGTTCCTATTTGATCTGTATCAGAGGGGTAGCCGTGTTAGTCTGGATCTGTAAAAAGCAACAGAGGGTCCTGTGGCACCTTTAAGACTAACAGAAGTATTGGAGCATAAGCTTTCGTGGGTGAATGCCCACGAAAAGGTCTTGCGTCTGAAGTGGGCATTCAGCCATGAAAGCTTATGCTCCAATACTTCTGTTAGTCTTAAAGGTGCCACAGGACCCTCTGTTCCTATTTGATCTATCATTTTAATGCTGCTGGGAGTTTTGTTGTACTACTAATTATATGTTAGTGCACCTAGAACCTTGTGTAAGTGTCTTATTATTTTAATCTAAATAAATAAAAACACAGTAATTGGAAATTGCCTTCTGGAACCTGTAGTTTATATAGGTTACACCTCCACATTGAAGATCAAAGCAGTTGCAATCTGCTCTACTACCCGAGTTAAAATCCCAAAGGCTGTGCCTGCCTAGTTACCGGTGATAACACATGCATAAGGTTTATCACGATATTAACAAAGATAGGATACTTCTTTAACGTGAGTGTGGCCTTTCTTCAGGATCCCTGTTTTGACATGTAAAGAGGATTTTTTAATAAGATTAGTGTGGAAGCCTCTCTAGAAAGTGGAAAGACTTTACAGAAATCATTAATAAATTACCTTAGAGGTACATCGAGTTCTTCTTTTTCCATTTTCCCTTCAAGTTCTTCAGTATTTGTCAGCTCCATATCGGTCTCATCAATTCCAGTTTTTTTCTCATCGTTCTGATAGTACTGTTGAAGTGCAGTGTAAAGTTTATAGACCTGACTGAAAGAAAGCTTGTTGTATGCCAAGATCATGTGGCGCAGAAATAAACCTATACAAGGAAAATATTTGTTACATTTGAACACAGAGAAAGATAGCTAGTTGTGGTGCCTAGTAGTTTTAGATCAGAGACTGAAAGTCATTATTCCTGGTTCCAGCACTAACTGGGAGTGTAAACTTGCATTTCGCTTCACCTCAGTGTCTCACAGACTAACACGGCTACCCCCTGATACTCAGTGTCTCAGTATACCAATCTATAAAAGTGGCCCAATAATTCTCACTGCCTCTCAGGTGCATTGTCTAGTTTACTTTAGGGCCCAATTCCACAGGTAATCTGATCATAGAACTCCTATTAAGACCAAAGAGAACTGCTAATGGTGTTGCAATGTGAAACATTTTTGAACAGATGCATTCTTTGTATACGGTTTTATTAAAAGACTGAGTATTTGTCCTAAGTAGTGCGCTTGTAATTGTTTTTCAAATATCAAAAGAAAATCTGGTTGAATGGATGAATGAATGGATTTCCAGGACAAAAGTGAAAGAATATAAAATACTTACCTACTACACTTGTTTTGTGAACTTCTGGTTCTGTCCCAGTAAATGAATCTGAAAGGTCATCAAAAAATTGTTCCATGTCTTTCAACTCCCCTTCTGCCATCAGTTTTATCCTAAACAGGAAGAGAAGTTTATAGAAATGTTCCCTTCCAATCCTGACCACCAAAATAAATCTCACATGAAAAAACTCTTCCTCATTTCAGGTACTGGAAGAATGAGACACAACCCTAAATGAAACCAAATGGTTATTAGTTCACTTATACCAAAAGTGTTTCTAAATTTTTGAACATCTGGAAAAATGATCACTGATCACTTCAAAAAAAGAAATTGCATGTGATTATTTTTTCCATCTGGAAAAGGAGAATGTACAATGAACCAAATCACAACGTGTTACATCATCAAAGTATAGGTTGAGTGGTAGTTACTGTAAGGAAAAAAATATGCTGTATGCTACACTTCCTTTCCCTCTTTTTTCCTTTCTCTAAAAATCAACTAAGTTTAAAATATCAGTTATGCTTTATGTTACCAAACTTTAAAGAAAGTGATTAAAATCATATAAATCACAGAAGCTAATTGTTATGTAAAGCCTCCGCTCAAATGCGATTGTAAGATCTGTAACTTGTATCATTAAGTTCTGCAACCTTTTTGCAGACTTTGTAACTTCAGTTATTGTTAGCATAGCCTTTTGAGTTTTGTAACCTTTGCAAGCTCTGTAACCTTTTCAAGTTACCACTTGTATGAACTTCCAAGCTGTGTAATATCCCATCACACAATCAGAGAGAGAGTGAACAAGGGAGTGTTCACTGGGGCAGAGAGGAACTGCAAGGAGAAAGGAGCCCGGAGCCAGGTGTGTCTAATATAATCTGCCCTGAGAAGGCAATCACGGTGTGCTGTAAAGAAAAGAAGAACCTGGTATGCATGAAAGAAACTGGTCTGGGAATGCTTCTCGGTGATGGACACAGAAAGGAAACTCAGTGTACGTGACAGGAGCTGCCCAGTTCCAAAATAAGAGGAAGAAGGCATGCACACAAGCCCCTGCTTCTTGACCTGTTCAGCAGCCTGGATTTGTGACCGCAGGTGGACACACCAGATCTACCACGCTTTGGCTTCTCGGCCTCCATGCTGTCTCCGGTAACTCTCTGCCTGTGTAAGTGTATGGGTGCATGAGGGTATGAATGCAGTGAATGTGTGCATGTATGAATAAGCTCCATCTCTTTTCTATCTGACCTAACAGCGGCATTGTAATAAAACTAATACAAGTGTGACCCTGGGTTGTTTTTTAGGGGAACAGAGGTAACACTAATAAAAAGGAAAAGTGATGGCCCCATCTCTCTGGTAAAGCAGGATACACTCTCCAGTCAAAGGATAGATCAAATAAATTACCTTATTTGCACAGAATTTGCTAAGTTAGGACAGGATTCTTCAATAGCCTTATGCAATCGTGACAGCGTCATATCAGGACCCTATACAAAATGATAAATCCATTTTAGAAATCCAAACAGTCAATTTGGACCCAGAAAAAACAGCAACTTTACATCACTCTACATGTTAATGGCAGTTATAAAGAGGACTGTGATCAATTTTCTCCATGTCCACTGGAGACAGGACAAGTAGTAATGGCTTAATCTACAGCAAGAGAGATAAAGGTTAGATATTAGGAAGAGCTATCTATCTACGAGAACATCTGGAAAGTAGTTAAGCTCTAGAATAGGCTTCCAAGGGAGGCTGTGGAATACTAGTAATGGGAGAATATTAAGAATAGATTGGGCAGACACCTGTCAGAAACAGTTTAGGTTTACTTGATCCTGCCTCAGCACAGGGGGCTGGACTTGATGACTTCTATGATTCCATAATAGCCACGAAAACATAACAGCACAGGCACAAAAATCCTTAGCCACCCTTATTACAATAGCAACATGTCCCTCGCCCATTACCAAATGCGCACTTGCCCCAGGTGACAAACAGGGAGAATTGTGTAAGGCTCTTCTGCAGCAGAACCCCAACCCCAACCCCAGCCCTTATCTAGTGACAGTCCCTCTCCACTCTCCCTTAGATCCCTGAGCAAGATCCATGCTCTAGAAACACTTGCTGCCTTTTTCTCCTGCGCCCCCCCACCCCCACCCTCTCCAGGCAGCCCCTATTACCTGGGGGCAGCCCAACCGCTTCCACCCGGGGAAGATCCCCGGTCCCCTCCCACCCCTTCTATGACCCGCGCCTGCTCCCCTCCTCAGGCGGCCCATTGCCCCCCGACCTGCAGCAGCGGCAGCAGCAGCCGGTTGAGGCGCCGCCTCTCCAGCAGGCTGAGCTGGGCCCCGGCCCGGCCCAGCTCGCTGAGCAGCACTAGCAGCGCCATCTTGTAGGGGGTGACGCAGTCCTTGATGCCGAACACGTTGGCGTGCACCACCCCGTTGGTCATCATAGGGTTGAAGTAGAGACTCTCGTGCACGCTGGCCATGGCCGAGCCGGGTGAGGGGGCCCCAGGCAGCCACTGCTACCACAGCCCGAGGCTTCAGGAGCCTCCACCAACTCGCCAGGAAGCCATCCCCATCTCCCGGGCAACCAGCATCCCCCCAACATAGCCAATCGTAGGAGCCGGTCTCAGTCACGTGAGCTCGCAAACAGCCAATCAGACTCAGCGAGCGAAGCGGTGGTGGCGGGGTGCAGAGCTCTGCAGTTCCGGCGGGAAACCTGAGCCCGGCCCCGGCCAGAGACTGAATAAGGGGGCGGGAGTATGGAGGGAGCTGAGGGGAAGACACAGACAGCTGGGGGGGGCTGGGAGAGATAGCACTGGAAGGGGTGGGGAAGTGGGGACCTGATAGAGGGAGGCCCTGGGGGGGGCGCGCTGGGCGGAGTGGGGGAGCGCAGGTCGGGGAGGGGGGCACTTGGGGGATCCCTGAGTGGAGAGGGGGATATCTGGGTGCGGGGAGAGCGTTGCGGGCACGGAGGAGAGGGGAGTGTTGGGCAGAGGGGGGCACTCTGGGAGGGGAGACACTTGGGGCGGGGGGAAGTCTGCTGGTGGGTGAGGGGGTCTGAGTAGCTGGAAGGATAGGAGACCTTTTTCACACATTCATAGTTCTCTTTTTTTGTATCTCCTAAGAGCCAGACTGCCTGGTAGAAGGAGCTGCTTTGTGCTGCACCACTGGTGCAGTTTGACACAAAAAGCCAATGGAGGGGGGGATTATACCATTTCAAGGATGCCTTCCAATGGTGTAGAGCCAATGTACCACTTTTCCTCATTATGGCTAGTGTACCAGGATAAGGGACTGAGGAAAAGATGGGCTTCCTCTGTGCCTTGCCTCTTCTTGGTTGTAGTTTTGGCCCTTTGGGGCTCAGCCTATCCAAAGTATGTTAGAACAACCCATCACACTGCACAACAGGATCTGTCTCAACGGTATGTGGACAATTGAGTATTTTAGCCTTCAGAGTAGAATCTCAATTTTTATGAACATCAGTTCTATGAACAACTAGATATATGAACCATTTTTCCCAATGGAAAAAGAAAATCACATAACGAAGGTGATGTCATTGACAAATAAGTCAACATTCCTTCACATTCTCTTGCCTTCCGTGCACTGGAAATAGCTTTGCAGTGGTTTGAAGGACAAGAATGCAGTACAGGCGAGTCTCATCTTACGCTGGGGTTACATGCCCTTGTCAGCACGTAAAGCGAAAATCGTGTATAGTCAAAATTACCTTGAGTGTAATGGCAGGTGGAATCGCCTGTACTACAGGTACAGTATTTAAATTGTTATTTTTCTCTTTTTTTTTTCTTTTCTTTTTTTTCTGACCGTGCAAAGCTGAATTCACGCATGTTAAATGCGCGTAAGATGAGACTCACCTGTACGCCATACTGCAACATAGACACCATGCCTACTGTAATTCTGAGATGTTCAATTCTATGAACTTTTTGATTTTATGAACTCGATCAATTCATAAAATTGGGGTTCTACTCTATTGAAGTTTTGCTTGTTTGGTACCACTTGAGAATTATTTTGCTTTAACCTTGTTAAATATGGAACGATCTGTATTTCTGAAGGGGAAAAAAAGGTAAAATATAAACTAGGGCTGACGATTCATCAGTTAACTCACACAATGAACTCAAAAAAATTAACTGCGATTAAAAAATTAATCATACTGTTAAACAATAGAATACCAATTGAAATGTATTTAATATTTTTGGATGTTTTTCTACATTTTCAAATATATTGATTTCTATTACAACACAGAATCCAAAGTGTACAGTGCTCACTTTACAGTGCAAATATTTGTAATAAAAATAACATAAAAATGATAAACAAAGAAATAGTATTTTTCAGTTCACCTCATACAAGTACTGTAGTGCAATCTCAATCGTGAACGTGTAATTTACAAATGTAGATTTTTTTTTTGTTACATAACTGCATTCAAAGACAAACAATGTAAAACTTTAGAGTCTAGAAGTCCACTCAGTCCTACTTCTTGTTCAGCCAATCGCTAAGACAAACAAGTTTGTTTACGTTGACAGGAGATAATGCTGCCTGCTTCTTATTTACAATGTCACCTGAAAGTGGGAACAGGTGTTCAAATGGCACTTTTGTAGCCAGCGTTGCAAGGTATTTACGTGCCAGGTTTGCAAGGTATTTACGTGCTAAACATTTGTATGCTCCTTCATGCTTCAGCCACCATTCCGGAGAACATGTTTCCATGCTGATGACACTTGTTAAAAAAAATAGTGTGTTAATTAAATTTGTGACTGAACTCCTTGGGGGAAAATTGTATGTCCCCTCCTCTGTTTTACCTGCATTCTGCCATATAATTCATGTTATAGCAGTCTCAGATGATGACCCAGCACATGTTGTTTGATTTACGAACGCTGTCACTGCAGATTTGACAAAATGCAAAGAAGGTACCAATCTGAGAGGGACGAGGTGTGGGGCTTGCTTTCAGAAGTTTTAAAAGAGCAACACTCTGATGCGGAAACTACAGAACCTGAACCGCCAAAAAAGAAAATCAACCTTCTGCTCGTGGAATCTGACTCAGATGATGAAAATGAACATGCATCGGTCCGCTCTGCTTTGGATTGTTATCAAGCAGAACCCGTCATCAGCATGGATGCATGCCTTCTGAACGCCTGTTCTCACTTTCAGGTGACACTGTAAACAAGAAGCGGGCAGCATTATCTCCTGCAAATGTAACCAAACTTGTTTGAGCGACTGGCTGAAGTAGGACTGAGTGGACTTGTAGGCTCTAAAGTTTTACATTGTTTTATTTTTGAATGCACTTATTTTTTTGTATGCAATTTGAAATTTGTAAGTTCAACTTTCATGATAAAGAGATTGCACTACAGTACTTATATTAGGTGAATTCAAAATATTTCTTTTGTTTTTTTACAGTGCAAATATTTGTAATAAAAAATAAATGTAAACTGAGCACTGTACACTTTGTATTCTGTGTTATAATTGAAATCAATATATTTGGAAATGTAGAAAACATCCAAAAATATTTAAATAAATGGTATTCTATTATTAACAGTGTGATTAATTGCGATTAATTTTTTTAATCGCTTGACAGCCCTAATATAAACCCCAAGAGCATTTAAAATGTTACAGTAATTCTGCACTTGACCCCATGTAGGTATATATAGTACATTCTCTTTCAAATAGTTTAATAATTTCTGAATATGTCATGAATGAATGAATGATGACATCATTATGACATTAGGAACAGGGTGAGTAGATCAGTGATATTGTATATGCCACTGCACACACTGTGCATACTAAATATAGAGTTTTATCATTACTAACGCTTAGAATACATTATTATACAATGGTTCATCAACAGCCAAATATTTACAGTGATTCTTCCGCTCCCTCAACAGATGGGAAGGCAGCAGTGTTATAGAATTTAAGCATTACCTGCTGTCTCTGTCAGCATCGTACTAATTCTTGGAAAATTACAAACTATAACTGTACTTGTTTTGCCATTGTAGGTAACATGTTAGGGAAAACAGATGAGGAAAATTTCATATGTGACCTAAATCTGAGAAATGGATAAACAAATTGGTTATTGTTTCAAAGAGAACTAGGATTAATAACTATGCATAAACAAAGAAAGCAGTCTTTCTTGGCACTAGATGTGTATTGACTTTGAGAGATCAGTGGAGTCGCATTACCCAACCGATAAAGAAAATTAGAGTTAATTGAGCTGCTTGAAGAGCTTGATCTGTGTTCTGACCAGCATTTCTGAATATTCCAGACACAAACTAGAACTCCATTCTTCAAAGGCACATAAAATGAACCGAGCCCCTCCATTGCAAGGAAATTAGTATGTTAACTAATGGTGTGATGATATATATTTATTTGGAATGCATGTAAAGATTTCTTAAAATGTGCTAGTTACTATATGATTGTATACAGTATGTTGAGAAAAGGTTCAGAAAAGGGCAACTAAAATTATTAGGGGTTTGGAACGGGTCCCATATGAGGAGAGATTAAAGAGGCTAGGACTCTTCAGCTTGGAAAAGAGGAGACTAAGGGGGGATATGATAGAGGTATATAAAATCATGAGTGATGTGGAGAAAGTGGATAAGGAAAAGTTATTTACTTATTCCCATAATACCAGAACTAGGGGTCACCAAATGAAATTAATAGGCAGCAGGTTTAAAACAAATAAAAGGAAGTTCTTCTTCATGCAGCGCACAGTCAACTTGTGGAACTCCTTACCTGAGGAGGTTGTGAAGGCTAGGACTATAACAGCGTTTAAAAGAGAACTGGATAAATTCATGGTGGTTAAGTCCATTAATGGCTATTAGCCAGGATGGGTAAGGAAGGGTGTCCCTAGCCTGTGTTTGTCAGAGGGTGGAGATGGATGGCAGGAGAGAGATCACTTGATCATTACGTGTTATGTTCACTCCCTCTGGGACACCTGGCATTGGCCACTGTGGGCTGTAGTCCACGAAAGCTTATGCTCTAATAAATTTGTTAGTCTCTAAGGTGCCACAAGTACTCCTGTTCTTTTTGCGGATACAGACTAACATGGCTGCTACTCTGAAACCTGTTGGTAGACAGGATACTGGGCTAGATGGACCTTTGGTCTGACCCGGTACGGCCATTCTTATGTTATGTAATGTTTCCAAAGAGAAGACACTATTGGCAGATCTCTTTAAAAATCTGTACTGTGCTTCATTTCTTTCAGGAATGTGTATTGATGAAAAGTTGTGGATTAAACATTTCAAAAGACTTAAGTAATGGGTTTATGGGCTAAATGTAATGTTCTTACTCTTAGCGCCCTCTTCCCTAGTTGTTTTACTTGTCCTGTCGCGGTGGGCTTTGGTTTTGGCCCCCCCACCTGGGGTCATGTAGTAATTTTTGTTGTCAGAAGGGGTCGCAGTGCAATGAAGTTTGAGAACCCCTGCCTTAGATGAACTGATGTGGGTAAAATTCCATGTAAGAAAGTGACCGAATTTTCAGTATTAAAGAGCTGATCATCTCAACAAATCACTTTAGAAATAATGTAGCAACTATAAATGGCCTTGTATCAAATAAGCAATTAGATTGGAGAAAGTCTGTAATCTCCTGTCTTTATTTTATGTTCTCATAATAATATG